ATATATATATATATATATTCTGTGGTCCCTGTCTCTCTGGAGAACTCTAATACATTAATGAACCTCATTGTTCAGATCTCAGGTCGTACAGTTGACTTACATTGGCCATTTTTCTCTTGAGATGATGTTTCTTCATTATTTGACCTTGATCTGTAACTTTCTAGTGTGTGTTCTGAAACTTCGTTTTCTACAAGAAAAGAAAATCAAGTGACTAATTTCTGATGCCACGGACATGTAGAAATGTGTGTTTGAATAAGATAATACCTCTGTTACTGTGCAATAGTAGACTTACCATGCCCCTCCCATAACTCATACCCTCATTAATTCAACACATAGTTTTTTGATTCCTGTAGTCACTGTGCTAGGCAGTCCTGGGATTTGTATCCTTCTGTGAATAGAAGTGTCTATCATTGAATGCCAGTTTCTGGAGTTATGCTAGTTTCTATTGGTTATGCACTCTTAGACTATAGTCCCTGGAGATTCGCACCTGAGTTTACTAGAAAACAAACAGTTGCTTATCTGAGTGACAGCACTTATCAACTAGATTATGTAGTGTCTGACAGAAAGCTTTAATAGACAGAATTTCCCTTTTTTTAGCCATTTGTTCTGGCGTCTTATAGCCTCCGTCAGGTTCCCTGCCCACTGACCTTTTTTCCATATGACATGTGCTTTCCGCAGCTTCATAATGAAGAGCTGGACTATGATAAAGAGTATGAAGATGAGGAAGGACACCAGCGTGAGCAGCAGGATGCCACTTTTCTTCCTTGCCAATCCTAAATACTGAGGATTTGCTTCTATAAGGAAAATGAAAAAGGAAGTTTATATACTTTGGGTTTTTTTTTTTTTTTTGGTCACTGGAGAATACGTAACAATACTTCTACAATGTGATATAAGCTAATAAACAGCTCAGATGAAGAGATGAGAAAGAGCTTACCCCTGAAGGTAAAGAGACTTACACTGTTCATTCTCTGAGAACAGGCAAACAGGCATACAACAAACAAGGCAATTATGTGTGATGATTTGAAAAGATCTTTTAAGTTACATAGCTATTGGGCTAGTTATTTTTTATTTCTAGAGAAAGCATATGAGAAAATCAACTTAAATTATACTCAGGGGATTCAAATTAGTTATAGGAATGATTTTTAGCAAAATATAGTTAAGTAGCAAGAGGGATTGTTAAGGAGTTTAAAAAACTATCCAAATAAAATGAAAATTTATTTATCTTGGTTAGGTTAAATGTGGCCCTACAGGAAGGCATTTGGGCTAAATCAGATGAGCTCTTAAAAATATTTCTAGCCAGGTGCAGTGGCTTATGCCTGTAATCCCAGCACTTTGGGAGGCTGAGATGGGAGGGTTGCTTGAGGCCAGGAGTTTGAGACCAGCCGCGGCAACATAGCGAGACTTTGTCTCTACAAAAATAATAATAATAATAAAAATTTGCCAGGAGCCGTGGTGCACACCTGTAGTCCTAGCCACTTGGGAGACTGAGGCAGAGGATCACTTGAGTCCAGATGTTTAAGGTTACAGTGAGCTATGACTGTGAAACTGCACTCCAACCTAGAAGACAGAGTGAGACCTGTCTCTAAAAAAAAAAAAAAAAAAAAGCTTTCTAAACCTAGAATTCTGATTCTATGGGATATAGCTTTGCTAAATGTCCTGGTCACCTTATCTCAACCAACAAATAATTAAGGAGTGCCAGCTACCTGTAGAACATTGTACTTGGACCTGCAGAAGGCACAGTCCATATGCTTTGGGAATTACTTCTCTATACATAAACAAATTAGTAAAAACAAACAAAAGTAAGATATGCCAAATTCTGGATCCATAGATATTTATATCATAGTGTGTTCAGGGGTTCAGAGGCAAGAATGGTCTCTGAGGAGTGAGTTGGTCAAAAAAGCTTTCAGTGAAGATATTGGCCTTGAAGGGGAAGTAAGGAGAGGTGACAGGAGGTCTCCTCTTCCACCAGGGGCGGTGAGGATAAACAAGAGCAGGGTGATTGAAAAGGGATGATGTTTTCAGAGAAAAATATATATCTCGTAGGGACTTTGTAGATATGAGACTGCAGAAGTAGGTATTAGATGACACCTAATGAGGTGTTTGGGACTCATGCTCTGTGTTGTAGATTTCAGGAAGCCATAAAGGGTTTTAGAACACAGATATGCAGAGTGTAAAGAGATATTTTGATGGTAGGGTGCTGAAAGTGAACCAGAGGAGGGGAAACTGAAGTTATAATACTCCATGCAGGAGATGATGAGAGCCTGGATTGGGATGTTAACAGTGACAATGGACAGAATACCTGAAAGAGAAGACTCAAAAGTTCTTGGAAATTGACCGATTTTATACACGTGTGTGCATATGCATATACATATACACATACACATATATATATATATATTTGTACACATGCACAGGAGTGATAGATGACACTAAGGTTTGGGGCCTGTGTGATGCTTTGGACAAGCTGATTTTGTGGGAGAAGGTGTTTGGTATTTAGCAATGTTGAGTTTGAGGAAATCGCAGAAAATTCAGCTACAGACATATAGAAAATAGAAAGAAATTGAGACTAATGCTGAGGAGGATGTTCTGAAAATATAGGTATAGAAATATTTTGCTGGCCGGGCACAGTGGCTCACACCTGTAATCTCAGCTACTTGGGAGGTGAAGGTAGGAGATCTCTTGAGCCCAGGAGTTCAAGGCTGCAGGGAGCATGATAATTCCCCTGCACCCTGGCCTGGGCGACAGAGAGAGACCCTGTCTCTAAAAACAAAACAAAACCAGAAAAGAAAAAGAGAGAAATCTTTTGCCTAGTGGCAACAGGAACCGTCTTGGGAATGAGTAAACTCTTTAAGAAATAAGGGAAGAACGACCGGGAGCGGTGGCTCAAGCCTGTAATCCCAGCACTTTGGGAGGTCGAGGCGGGAGGATCACCTAAGGTCGGGAGTTCAAGACCAGCCTGACCAACATGGACAAATCCCATCTCTACTAAAAATACAAAATTAGCCGGGGTGGTGGCACACACCTGTAATCCCAGCTACTCAGGAGGCTAAGGCAGGAGAATCACTTGAACCCGGGAGGTGGAGGTTGCCATGAGCCGAGATCATGCCACTGCACTCCAGTTTGGGCAACAAGAGCAAAGCTCAGTCTCAAAAAAAAAAAAAAAAAAAGAAAGAAAAAAGAAAAAAAACAGGAAGAACAAAAGATGGAGAAGTAAAATCAGAAGTGTATACACATTTAAGAAGTCAGAAAAGGAAGATAAGTTAATTGATGGATACAGGGAAGCAGTGGTTAGCAACAGATAACAGAACCAGGAAAAGTATGTCAAGAAGCCAAGAGGTAACTAAATCAAGGAGGGACAAGGGAGTGATTAACCAATCATGTCCTAAAGGGCAGAAAGGTCAAGAAAAAGGAGGACTGACAAAGGCCATTGAATTTATCGATTAAGAGGTTAAAATGTCGAGTGTTTATTCTAAATGCAGTGGATGATACTTACCGGTGGTCAAGTTAGGATCTTGAGTGGTTTGTTCTTTCTCTTCTTTGTCAATTTCCAATGTACTAGAATCTTCCATTACTGACACTAAAGTGAAAGAAAATAAAACATGAGCTATGCATACATTATATGCATGTGACTATACACAACTGTAGTTAGATAAGTCTTCCCCGAGCAGCTTGGGAAGTCAAATTAAAAAACAGCACTGAGATCATTTTTGAACTATGGATTTCTTGTAAACATATTTGCAAATGACTGGGCTCACTTTGCCTTGTTTTTTTAAGGTAAATGTTTTGAACACTTACTCTGTGCCTGGCCTCAAACTGAGCACTTGGTATATATTATTTCTCACCACAGGTCTGAGAAAACGGAGATTTAGAGCAGTTATGTAAAGTACCTAAAGTCCTGTAGCAAGTAAGTGGCAAAGCCAATACATAAACTCTGTTTTACCTAACTCTAGAACCCAGCATTTAAACCATTATTTCATACTTCCATCCTGAATCAGGCCTGTTAGGGAGAAGGTCTTTAGGATGCTTCAAGATAACAACTCAACACTGAGGAATGGCATTCCAAGCTTTAATTATAAAAAACCTACTGCCTGAAATGCAGAAAGCAATGATTTTTATGTTGAAATATAGCTTCAGTTATCATTCAGACCTCTGCTTCCTCCCCATTAGAGGTGAGATATACTATGATTTTTTTTCTAGGCAAGATAAATTATAAAAAATAAGAGACTGTGGGTTTTTCTTTTTGTTTTTTGTTTTTTTTTTTCAGATCTTACTGCTTATGTTTCCAATTTCCTTTTTTCCCTCTGCAGTTTCTTGCCTTTTAGTCCATTGCACAGCGCCACTATGTGGACCCTGAGGGGAATGAAGCCTCCCATTCTATTGAAAATGGGTATTAAAGGTAATAAAATCGTAGAAATGGAAAGCTGAAAGGAATTTTAGAAACCATATTTTTAAAGTCTTATGTATGAAAAAGAGAGCAGAAAATTGAGCTGTTCAGTAATGATGCAAGCCATTACAAGTAACTAGATTCTAAACACGTTTACAAATATTGGATTATTAAAGCAAGTGATGTGGCTGTTCCACTTCATAATATTTTCAATTTCCATTGTTCTTCAAAAAATTGTATGGTACATATTGTATTTATCAGTGTTTAGAAATCCCAAACATTTACTTTTAAATATTATTTAGGATACACATTTTTAAAAATGTGATCTGATACTCAGAACTATGAACATGATAATGATCTGAAAGCCGTCATTCCACCAAATGAAATTCTTATTGACACACTACATGAAATGGAAAGAGAGTATGTAGGAATTTATGCCTTTCTGGATGAGGCTAATAGTCTTACTCAAAGCACCATAACCATTTCCTTCCTTCCTTCCTCCCTCCCTCCCTCCCTCCTTTCCTTCCTTCCTTCCTTCCTTCCTTCCTTCCTTCCT